CCCCCAGGGTTGGTTGCCCCTTTTTTTGCCCCATGCCAGTTGGCAGAGCCAGGTCTTGACTACTTTCTGGAAGGACAAGAGAGTTGGGGCCTGCCTCACCTCCAGGGAGAGAGTATTCCATAGGGCAGGGGCCACGCAGAGAAGGCTCTCTTTGTGGACCCCGCCAGTCAACATTCTTTCATCAACAGGGTCCTCAGCATACCCTCCCTGCCTGACCAGGTGGGATGGATGGATATAATGGGGATGAGACGGGCCCTCAGGTAACCTGGTCCCATGCCATTATGTAAGACATGTTAGGTTTGTAGAAGAATGTCAGGTTTTTTTCCATAAGAAATAAAAATCTTATAATTTGTGGGAAATCTGCTGAAAGATTAAGTTGGCAAAACTTTATTAATCATTTGTTTTTAGAATAAGAAGCCTGAGATTCCATTTCCATGAAGACAATGATGCAAACTTACATCTAATATACTATAATAGTGCTGAGTATCTCTTTTCTGATTTATTTATTTAATTAATTTCTATGGCCACCTATCTCAATCAACTGACTCTGGATGGCTTCCAATCACAAAATCAATTAAAACCAATTGCAAACTCAATACAAAAAATAAATATAGATAGCAGCCAAGAGAAGTCATAAGCATAGATGGTATTTGAACTAGGAAACGGGGCCCTTAACACACTCTAGATCCCAGGCTCAGATATACAATCAAGTCTTCAAGGCCTTATGTAAGGCCAACAAGGTTGGGTCCATCCTAGTCCCTGGAGGGAGAATGTTCCAGAGGGTGAGGATATGGCAGAGAAGCCACACCTACTAGTCCCCTGCACCTGACATTCCTTGGCTGATGAAATCTGGAGCTTGCCCATCCTATCAGATGGGTAGAAAGAACCAGGAGAAGACAGTCCTGCAGGTAACCAAGTTCCAAGCCATGAAGGTCTTTAAAGGTGTCAACTAGTACCTTGAATTGCACCTGGAAACATATGCATCTCACAAAGTAGCAGTGGGGCATGTGTTGAATATCCAACACCATTTACTACCCAAGCAGCTGCCTTCTGCACCTGCTGAAGCTGCCAAATTCTCCTCAAGGGCAGACTAATGTAGAGCACTTTGCAGTAATCCAGACTGGAGGTCATGGGAGCATCAGGGACTGTGAGCAGAACCTTGCATTACAAGAATGTTGCACAACTGGTGCACAACCCAAAGGTATGCAAAGGCCCACGTAGCTATGACTGCTAACTGCTGTTCTAGCAGGAGCCGTGAGTCCAAGAGTACCCTCAGATTGTGTACCAGGTCCATTTGGGGCAATCCTACCTTGTCCAAAACTAAAGGTGGATAAAAAATTGACACTGGAAGGTCAAAGTACGCAAAGCCACTCAGACTTACTTGAGTTGAATCAAAGCCCATTGCACCTCATCCAGGCCCCTACAGCCTCCCAGCACTATGACAGCGCATCCCTGGCACAGCTTGGGGTAGAGATATAAATCTGGGTATCATCACCATACTGATGATACCTCACCCTATACCTTTGATTCACTTCACCCAGCAACTTCATGTAGATCTTAAAGAACAGGAGAGAAAGGGCCGAGCCCTGTGGCACAACGCAAAGTAGGGACCCTGGGATGGACCTCTCCCCCCCATCAACATTGACTGGAACTGATCCCAGAGGAAGGGGGAGAACCAACACAACACAGTGCTACCCACCCACAAGTCCCAAAGCTGGTCCAGTAGGATTCCATGATATATGGTATCAAAAGCCGTTGAAGGTTCAAGAAGAGTGAGAATGGATGAATTATCCATATCCTGCTTTTCCCAGTGGTCACGTGAGGGAATGCAGTAGAGAACCAGGTTCTCAGGAAGGAGAGAGTGCATTGCAGGAAGGAATGGGGGGAGGGATACAAGAGCAAACACAGTCCACACCGGGAGCATGTCTGAGGATACTCATTCCCTAGAATCTCCCAGGGTATATCCATTGAAGAGAGGGTGCACCACCATCTTCTTCTGAGCCAGTGGGAACATCCCCTCCCACAAGGAGGAATTAATCACTGCCCAGACCCAATCACGCATGGCTGAATTAGCAGCTACAAGAACCCTGCCCACTGCCTCTGGTTCAACAGTACCAAACTCCTCGCAGATAACCGTGCAAGACTCAGCCCCCACAACCTCCACTGGTTCTGCCTGAAGGCTGGAGTCCAATGCAGAGGGAATCCAAGGAACTTTATCTTCTATTTGCTGGCATTTATCATATTGGTAACATAAACCTTTTGCAAAAGCATTAGCAATAAACTGTCATAGCATGCTTTTATCTCTTTTCCAACTTTTTCATCCTTGCCATTTAGCTTCACCATTTTCTGAGAGGTGTCTCGTTTAATAACAGTGCTGGGGACAAGATTTCCTTTGACAAAAATGGAGAATTTGTTGGAGGATTCAATATAATAAACTGGGTCACGTTCCCAAACCAGTCCTTCCTTAGAGTTAAGGTTGGAACCATTGATCCAGAAGGACTCTCACATCAACTGCTGACCATTTCAGAGGATGACATCATCTGGCCCACCTGGTTCAATCAGGTAGAATCCATCTCATGTCAATATTGATTTATTACCTTACCCAGTATTCCAGGGATGTTCACCTAAAGCTAACACAATTGCATTCTTTTCTCTTGAGTATTGTTATTTTAAAATAATAATAATAATAATAAAAAACGTGACCAATAGCTGAGCAAATCAGACCAATTAGAACATGTATTTATTTCGTATATTGTCAAGTGACTATTCTCATAAAATATATAGGTGAGCTAACAGGACCACTGCATCTGACAGCGGAAACATCCAGGTGATGTGTGGAGTAACAAGCAGTCTCAATGTATCTTCCTCTTGGCCGGATCATACCATTGTTATAAATTATGGGCGTGGAATTATTTATGTTTCTGTGTGTCATTTCAGCTGAGTCAGGGAATAGGGGAAGGTGGCTTTCAGCACCACAATCTCAACATGCTGGAACTACAATCTCTGAATATTATTTCCAATATATTAACATACTTTTATTTCTTTCACGGGCAGGTATCACCTCTCTCCCTGTGTAATGATAATTGCCCTCCAGGATACCGAAAGACCCCAAAAGAAGGAGAAGCATTTTGCTGCTATGACTGCTTTCCATGTCCTCAGGGAAAGATCACCAATCAGACAGGTAAGAGCTCCTATGAAAGATAGTGGATGTTCTGGACTCTATGAGCCAGAAAATAGTGATCAGAGAAATATTGAATACATCTTGTATTAAGGTGTTCTGTGGTCTTTTGCCTGAGAGGCATCTTGGAAATCCTTCCAAACTTTGGCTGAATTGAAAAAAGTTGATAAGCATTTTTTATATACAGTAGATACTATAGCATGGTTTCATAAATATCTTTGAGATATTTATTTCTTAACAGAACTATTTATAAAAAATAAAATGGACATTTGTCCATTATCATAATCCAAGCAGAAATGAAGTCCACAGGAGGACACTAGGCCAAATTTTAAAAAGATACTTTTATCAAATATGTCTTTTATCTTCTTAGATTATTGGTCTCTCAACCATCTCTTGACACTCTACTTCTGTTTGCTTTTCCAGATATGGACAAATGCTTCCAGTGCCAAGAAGATCAGTATCCAAACCATAACCAGGATTTCTGCCTTCTCAAGTACATTACATACCTCTCTTTTGAAGAAACGTTAGGAAGCAGCTTGCTGACAGTGGCCATTATCCTTTCTTTCACCACAGTTTCTGTACTAGGCACCTTCCTGAAGTACCACAACACTCCCATTGTCAAGGCCAACAACCGCAGCCTCTCCTACACCCTCCTCATCTCTCTCCTCCTCTCTTTCCTTTGTTCTCTGCTTTTCATCGGTCGACCTGTGAAGATGACTTGTCTCCTTCGACAACCGGCTTTTGGCATCATCTTCTCACTGGCTGTTTCTTGTATCTTGGCCAAAACCATCACTGTAGTTGTAGCTTTCATGGCCACTCAGCCAGGATCTCAGTTGAGGACATGGGTTGGGACAAGGCTAGCCCTTTCCATTGTTCTCTCCTGCTCATTTATTCAAATTCTTCTTTGTAGTGTGTGGCTGGCAAGCTCACCCCCTTTCCCAGACTTTGATAAGCACTCTTTCATTTCAGAAACCATTGTGGAATGCAAGGAAGGGTCAGTAGTCATGTTTTATTGTGTCTTATCTTTTATGGGCTTCCTGGCCCTTGTCAGTTTCATTGTTGCCTTCCTAGCCAGGAAGTTACCAGACACTTTCCAGGAAACCAAATCCATCACATTTAGCATGCTGATGTTTTGCAGTGTGTGGTTGTCCTTTATCCCTGCCTACATGAGCACCAAGGGGAAATTTGTGGTGGCTGTGGAGATCTTCTCCATCCTGGCCTCCAGTGCTGGACTCCTGGCTTGTGTCTTTTTCCCCAAATGCTACATCATCATTGCGAGGCCTGACCTGAACAAAAGGGAGCATCTAATAAAGAGACTTTGTTAAACCATATTTTGGGAGGGGCAATTGGGCAATCTTTGTCTAAAGTGGGATTAGAACTATGAGCTGAATTTCTAGAGGCAGCACCTTGGAGATGGACATCGGACATGATTTATGTTCATGATCAAAGAATACAAGCCTAAGCAATAGAGGTGTATGTACTGGAATTTGCACTCGTTGGTTCTATTTATAGAACAGTTGGACTCCATTGTAGACTTTGAAGCTGAATTTTCACAATATACTAAGCTTCTCAGCTGTTAAACTCACTGTTTTATTTCTTGGTGTGTGGGTGTGTTTAATTTTAACTCCTTTTGTCAGTGAACTGTTTAAACTTAAATAATAGATAACTTCATTAACCATGTTAAGTGGGTTGTGTGAATCCAGTGCTAGAATGATTAAAGGAAGAAGGGATAACAGTTTTCTATTCAAGGATATAATCAAATAAGCACATTGTTTTTTAAAGGAGGTTTTGATACATAGGGCAATATAAACTCATAGGACATCATTAGGAGAGAGCTTGCTCACTGCGGAAGCTAGAGCAGAGAATATACATTTAATGTATAAATACAACATAAAATCTGCTGGACATAGGCTTCCATATAATCAAAAGAAGGTAGCTCTTGGCAATCCTTGAGGGAAAAGGAGTTCTTCTGCCCTTTGCGAGATTACCTGGGATTGGGGGCAGAGAGAACCATTCTTCTTTTTTGCATGTTGGTGTTGTGTAGGCATTTCTGTATTTTCTGGTGTGTGCATACAGTATTTTTGAACCCCAAACCTCCATCTCAATCTCAATTTAAGAATCTCAATTTCTTCACTATTCTTACCTATATCAGTATACTATTTATCTATCTACCTATCTGGTGCTGAGAGTCAAAAATGCCTTGATGGCACATAACCAGTCAATCAATCAATATCACTGTACAGGATTCCTTAGCATTAGGCAATTAGAGACAGAAAAAGTAACTATTTCCTACAATTATTAATATCAATCAATCAGTTTAGTACAGTCATAGACCAGTACAACTAAAAATGCACATAACAGGTCTA